AAACACCTAATCCAGGTACATTTTAAAGAATTTTTAAAGTTACTTCCTTCATAGATCTAAAGAAAAAGAGCTAAGTAGCCTTTTATGGATTTCATAAATAGAATAGCAGCTGTGAGTGCTTACCCTACTCCTAAAGAATTCAGAACCTTTTAAAGCCTGAGGTTCAGAACTAAGTTCACCAAAGGAGAATTGAAGAGAAATTAGAGAGCAGGATTGGCGAAGGGTATTAGAAATTATCTGTTTAGTTATTAAAGAGAAAGCAGTACATATGTTATTTATGTACTATGTACTCTGTACTTTTATATGCATATTGCAATTTTATACTCCCAACACTGTAAGTATAATGTCTCAGTTTTACAGATGAGGAAACCAAAGACTAATGAAATTATCCAAGCCATACATTTAATAAATAGTCATGCATGATTTGAATTTAAATTTAATGTTGCAAGCACCCACATGGACCATAATTTTTAAAGTTTGTTCATTTAACATTCATTTATTCAGGAAAAACATCTGTTTGGCACCTACTGTATTCTGGGACTGTGCTAGGCATAGGTATACAAATATGAGTGCAGTGATGCCCATTCAGTTGACAGTTCATAGTCTAAGTCGCACCCAAGCATGTAAACCAGTGGTTCTCAGCTGGGGCTGATTTTTTCCCCCAAGGGAACATTTGGCAATGCCTAGAGACATTTTTGGTTTGGGGGGCTGGTGAGTTGGTCATACTGACATTTAATGGGCAGTGTCAGGATGCTGCTAAACATCCGTCATATGATGCACAGGACAGCCCTCTGTAATGAATGATCTGTCCTCAATTGTCAATAGCCTGAGGTTGAGAAACCCTGATATAAACAGGTGAATTATTGTATAATATGCTAGGTGCTCTGACAAAGCTATGAACAAAGTGTTGCTGAGACTCAGCCTTCTTCCCCTCTGTCCAGAGAAAACCACAGGATTTCTGTTGAGCAGGTTCTGGAAAAGGCTGGCAAGCTCTTTCTCAAACTGTGACCGGTGCTGGGAGGATCCTTGAACCGGGAGCTGTAACATGTTGGACGCAGCTGCTATTTTCTAGCTTCTGCCCAATCTCTATGATCTTTCATGGAAGTGGCGACATCTTCCACTCCTTTGAAAGTTCGAGGGCTTAACCCATTGATGATTTTTCACTTTGATTCTTCACAATGTGAAGGGTTGTCATCGCTGCCTTATAGTGTTGTGATGATTCACAACTTGTCTCTTTCCAACAGGAATATGAGATGACTTGCAAAAGGTTAATATGTGGAAGTAGGAAAAGACAATCAGACTAGAAGGGGATTGAGACAATGAACTCCTGTGTTTTAAGTGCTGAAGCACAAAACACCTTGTTAACATACATTTTTAACCAATAACTGATTCAATTTAAGGAGGGGTAATATGGCAAACACTGCATTTTAACTGTGACATGACTTTAAATCTTTAAGATAGTGGTCCTTTACCCGAATAACCTAAGTTTGTGGTCAGTTACTGTCAACCAAGTATTCCTGGATACATAAGTTGTAAGCATCCAAATCCGTGTATCACAATAGAGTTTAATTACTTGTATAAACCTGTATTCTTAGCATAGCAAGGGTCTAGGTGCTTTAGCATGAATTAAACTTGAACAAAATATTTCTTAAATAATTGCACATGCTAATGGGGGTGGTTTGTTTCTTCATCTTCTCTCACTAGCGTGTGTTACAATGTCATAATCCAGTCTACTCTAGTGCCACAGAGCTGTTCCTTTCTAGATGTGTAAAGAAGATTTCATAGTAATAGTTTCTGTCACTGACAGCCTACCAGAGACATGGTTCCTATTCATTTCCTATTTGATTCAATTCAATATATGTTTATTTGGAACCTTCCATTGTCTAGAACTGGGCCGATTGCTCAGTTGGATCCAAGGGGGGAAAAAAACAAAAAACACAGGCTTAGCCTTTAACAGGTTTCCAGGCCTACTGGGGAGACCGTGTTAATAAGCTGTAAGCAAGTAGAAAATAAGTAAGGTGGAACAATCTCTTCTATAAGACATCTAAAGGGAGAGAGACCATTATCGGCCATAATTATTGAAAAAGATTCTTCAGCAAAGACAGACTTACTACTTGCCAGTATGTTCTCAGTACACAGAGTGGCCATGATAAATATCCTATCTTTGTACATCTTCCCAAAGGAAAGAGAATCATGAGTGTTCTGTGAAAATGATGAAAAGAGTACAAACTTTATTTAGAAACACTGAAGTATATTATATTATTTT